CCCCAACCTCGGAATAAGTCTGAGCGGCCCCGGGACACCCCTCCACCTCCCGGGTACCATTAGGTTGTTCCCCATGGTGCACAGACCGGCGTGTGGGATCCTCCATCCGCACAGTCATGACCGTGATGAGGGATGAGGTTCTCTCTCCCTTTGGCTGCCGGAGCACCGGCGTGCAATGCCTCAGAGAGAGGGGTCCTCCTAGGACGCATCAAGGGTTCCCCGACCCCGACCTCAGAAAACATCCGAGCGGCTCGGAGCATCCCTCCACCACCCACGCCCATGGGGGACGATCCCCATGGGGTGGAGTCCTGGGTGAGTAATGGGTACATCCCTCCAGCCCGGTCTAACCATAACGGTCCAACCGAGGCAGCAGGAAAGGGTTTTTTTCTCTTCGGCTGCCGGAGCACCGGCGTGCAATGCCTCGGAGAGATAGGTCCCCTTCCTAGAGCGAGTGCAGAAGAGGCCATCCCTGTCGGCTGCCGGTGCATCGGCATGCAATGCCTTCAGGGGTGGTGATCTCCTCTCACCCGCTCTGTGACCATTCTGGTCCAAGACCAGGCTTGTCACCCTGCCCAGTCGGGTGCTCTTGGTCCAGTCCCTCAGTACAGACCACTCCGGCATGGTAGAACCTGCCAGGGCCGAAACCCCGCCGGCACAGCTCTGTACATCATTGATACCTTCAAGCCTCCCCACACGTCAAGGTGGCACCCTCGGGGAGGAATCACAAAGGATCATTTTTTTTTTTTTTTTTGACGAGGAGGAAATCCATCATGGATACCCTGACCCTCGGGGAAGGGCCAGGGTTATGCCGGACTCCTACCGGCTAAAACCTCCCCGGGTGGCGCTGCGAAGGGACTTGGGTCGGGGCCCCGGTGCCGCGTAACTGCTAATCGGGGCCCCGAGTCCAGGTTTGCACCTTCTGTCCCTGAGGGGCGGGGCGGGGGAGGGGGGAAGCCGACCCGAGGGTCCGCTTCGACCACCGCTCCCCAGGGGAAGGGGGAAGCCGGCCCGAGGCCCGCTTCGACCACCGTTCCCCTTTCCCACCCCTCACGCCTCGTCTCTTCGGTCGGGAAGGGGGAAGCCGGCCGAGGCCCGCTTCACCACCGTTCCCGACCAGACGAGGCGCCGCCAGTACACGTTGTGTGGCTGACTGACCCACCGTATCAGCCAGCCACCCTACGTTGGGAGGGTTAGTTGGGCACCGGGAGTCCCCGCCCGGTGCCCCACCCTCCCGCCCGGCGGTTGCGGGGAGATATACTCCCCTAGCCGCCGGGCTCTCCCCACCTCCGCGGAGGAATGGGGCGGGGGTCCTAATGACCCCCCTCCCGCATGTCCGATTGTCTATCGGACCTGCGATTGAGGGGGGAGGGGCATTTATTCCGATGATGCGTTACCATCGATGCCCTCTCCCCCCCTTATTGTCATCCGACACCCTTTTTTCGAGGGTGTCGGTGGTCTGCGGGTGGGGCCTGGGCCTGAGCCTCGACCCCCACCGCTCCCTTCACCCGTCGCTGCCATTGGTAGGGCAGCGAGGGGTGGCGGCGGCGGCGGTGCCACATCCACCCCAACTGCAGGGGCGGCAGCGTTGCTACCGCCGCCACCAGTGGGGCGAGCCTACGCAACGCCACCACCGCCACCCCTCTGTCTCTAATGAGGGCTCCCAACTGCCCCCTCCAGGTCGTTCTCCTTCCTCTCGCTCTCCTTTTGGAGGGGGAGCAGAGGGTGAGGGGGAGGAGGAGGTGGTGGAGGCTGAGCCCCCAGCCTCCTCAGTTCCTCCTCCTCCGAGGAGTCTGCGTCCCCCTCTCTGCTCCTGCTCCTCCCTCCCCTCCACTGACGGTGGCGGTCCCTCCGTCTTTTCCGCCTTCCTCTGCCTTCTGCTCTCCTCCTTTCTTCCTCGGCCTCCTCCTTCCGCTTCATCACCCCTCGCAGAAGGAGGTGAAAGCCTCCCACTTCTTTTCGCTCCCCAGTATCGCCCGGACTATACTGGGGAGCGAAAGGTCCGCGACCCTAACTCTCTCTCCACGACTCCGCGCTCGTTGCTCCAGGCCGGACACTCCTGGAGCGTGTGCTGCGCGGAGTCGTGGCCATGCCCGCAGTGGTGGTAGGCGGCTGTGCGCTCCTTTCCTATGCGGCACAGGTACTCACCGAAGCAACCATGCCCGGTGAGCACCTGCGCCGCCCTGAAAGTCAGGGCCCCATGGGCCCTTCCCACCCACTCGAGCAGGAAGGCCGGACGGCCTCGACGGTCCTCCTCCCGTACCTGGCATTGGCCAGATACCTCTGCCATCTTTCGAGGAGGATCCGTCGAGTCTGGTGCTTCATCTCCCGGATTGCCCTGGCGAGCGGTACGTCCGCCCCCCCTGCTCTTAGGAGCTCGCGCTTCCTGTCGTACATGCGTTTGTACGACAGGGCCACGAGCTCCATAGGGGGCATGCTCGCCAGGACTGTCGCCGCCACGCAGGAGACGGTACGGTAGCACCTCGCTACCCGGACCGCCAGCCCCCTTTGCACTCTGCGCAATCGCGCTTGCATCGGGCGACTGGCGGCTAGCGACTCGGCCCACACCGGTGCTCCGTACATGGCCACCGAGTTGAGGACTCCTGCGTGGAGGCGACGTGCCTTCATGTCTGGTCCCCCGACATTGGGCATTAACCTGCCCAGGTTGACGGAAATCATCCTGAGTCGGGGGACCAGTCTGCTAAGATGTTCTCTGAAGCACCAGGTGCCGTCCAGGGTGAGGCCCAGATACTTCATCTGGGCCTCTATGGGGACCTTGAATTGGCCTATCCTGACATGGGCCTGGGGTGGCTTCATGCCCTTGGCGTGTAGGAAGATCGCCTCGGTCTTCCTTTCCGCCACCACCAGGCCCAGGTTGCGGATGGAGCGCACAACCGCCGCCACCGCTAGGTTCGCGGTGTGAACGGCTTCCCCCCAGTCTCTCCCCTCGGCCAGGACGAGCGTGTCGTCTGCGTAACACAACGTGCTACAGCCGGGGGGGAGGGCTGTCCGGAGGACTGAGTCGTACCCAATGTTCCAAAGCAGGGGCCCCAACACAGACCCCTGTGGGACCCCACGACTCATCCCCCTCTCTCGTACCGTGCCATCGGCGTCCGTCCACATGAGACGCCGACCCCGGAAGTAGTCCTCTATGACGGCCGTGAGGTAGGGTGGGAAGCGGAAATAACCTCTCATCGCTTGCACCACCCTACCCCAGGGCAGGGTGTTAAACGCATTCGCGATATCTAATGATATCGCGACTGCCACCCTGCCCTCCGACACTATGGCCCCCGAGAGGGACTTCAGATGCAATACCGCATCTATAGTTGATCTGCCATCTCGGAAGCCATATTGGCCGTCACCTAAGTCAGGACCCTCTCGGGACATATGCCTCTTGAGGCGGGCCGCTATTATACTCTCGAAGAGCTTGCCCGCCTCATCCAGGAGGCATATGGGCCGGTACGCGGAGGGGGAATCCTCCGGCTTGCCCTCTTTTCAGAGGAGGACCACGTTGGCCCTCCCCCAGACTGGGGGGAATCTTCGTTCCCTCATGGCCCTTGTAAAAAGGCGCGCGAGCCTGTCGCTCATATACCCTGAGGCCAGGGTGAGGACACGGCCGGGGATACCATCGGGTCCCGGAGCTTTTCTGCTCTTGACCCTATTGGTAGCCTCGGCCACCTCCTCCTCGGTGACTCCCGGAACCTCCCCCTGTTGTTCGGGGGATGGGGTTACGTACTGGGTGATGGGGTTGTCCCCCCCAACCGGGAATAGGGTCCCCATCACCCGTCCCAGGAACCGGGAGTCAAGCGTCTCCGTCAGAGGGGGCGCCCATGGTCTCAGCTTTTGCATGACCATCCTGTATGGGCGCCTTCACGGATCCGCGTCTAGCGAGAGGAGGAGGTCGTCCCACCCCTTTCCTCTGGCCACCCCTATGGCGTTCCGGAGTTCTTTGGCGGCTGCGCAGAACTCCAGCCGGGCGGCCAGAGTGACCTCAGGGTCCGCGTCCCAACCCACTGCTCGGAATGCGCGCCTGAGGTGGACCGACCTCCGCCGCAACGCGGCAATTTGGTCAGTCCACCACCAGGCGCATCGTTTTGGGCAGGCCCTGACTCTGGGCATGGAGGCATCGCACGCGAGTGCGAGAACCTGCATAACCTCCATGACCTCAGAGTCAAGGTCCTGCCCTTCCTTCCACTGTGGCCAGGTGGAGTCCATCAGGGAGATCTCCAAGTCCTCCCTGTTTAGCTGGGCCAGAGCCCATCTACCGGGCCGGGGTCCGTCCGTATTGCGGGGCCGTAGGCCATCGGGGGTGACGGAGAGCTCCATCTCTATTATGAGATGGTCAGACAACGATTCTAGCTCCTCCGCCACCCTCCAGGTCCGCACCCTTCGCAGGGCCGAGGGGGTTGCCCAAGACATGTCGATAATAGACTCTCACCTCGACCCCACGAACGTAGATTTTTTGCCGTCATTCATAATGTGCAGACCTAGGCCCACGGCCCAATCCGCTGTTACCTCCCCCCTCCTGTCATCGCTCCGGGAGCCCCATAGCTCCGACTTGGCGTTGAAATCGCCGGCGACAATGACAGGACCCGGGAGATGTCTCTTGATGACATCTCCCATTTCTTGGAGCCTGGACTTGTAATCAACCAAGCCCAGGCTCTTTTCTGGGAGGAGGTATACCCCGACCACGGTGACGACTCCCCACCTGGCCACAACGAACCCCCTACCTCGGTCCAAGTACTTGGCAGGGGGTGAGCTGTCGCTCGCCTTCCAGACTATAGCGACAGAGCCCACCTCGTCCCCGAACCATCTATGGTTTCTGGGGACATGATGGGGCTCTGCCGCTATACCTAAGCCTGCACCGCGCTCCGTCATTGTGTGCTCGAACAAAGGGAGCGCTTGACGGGCGCGGTGCAGGTTTCCTTGTAACAGTTTAGTGTCCATTGTTCTGTTCTGTTATGACAACTATCTTCTCTCCCGGCTGTTCGCCGTCGGTATCCTCACTCTCAGCTGGTCTCGCTCTTTTTTCTGCTCTCTTCTCCTCCACCTCCATCTTCCCATCATCAATGGGGGTCTGAGGGGGAGGTGGAAGAGGTAGGAAGGTTCTTCTCCTCCTTTGAGGAAGCGGAGGTTGGGGTTCCGGCTCCTGGTTTACCCCCTCCTCCGCCTCCTTTCCTTCCTCGGTCTCCTTCCTCTTCTCCTCTGAGGATGCGGGAGGGTCTCGTGGCGGCGGTGCGGTCGCCCATACCCCCTACCACCGCATCCCCAGAGATTTTCTTCTTGCCCTTGGGGGGACGGCAGGATGGTCCCTCCATTCTATGTCCCGATTTTACACCTGCCTCCTCACAGATTTGACACCTGGCTCTTGAACTGCAGTCCCGAGCCAGGTGTCCGGGTTCTCCGCATCTGTAACAGTTGGCTCTCCTATCACTGTTATTTGTGCAATTAATCTGCACGTGCCCTCTTTCCAAGCATTTAAAGCATTGGAGTGCCCTTGCCTGTAGAAGTTCTACTTTGGCCTGCGTCCAGCCTATTTTAATGTTGCCTGTTTCTGCAACCCTCTTGGCCGCCGCGAGGGGGCACTGTACCCATAATGTCCTGTAGTTATTCCAGGCCATTTTTATACTCCCAGTCTTTACTTCTCCTACTTGACATCCCCCTATCTTAGCCACTGCCTCCGCCGCTTCGCTCTCCGAGGTGGATATTTCCAGCCCTTTGAGTCTCAGTTCACCCATTTTCTGCGCCCTGCTTACTCTTGCCCTGTCTGTCAAGACCTCCTTAAGTTTGTCCGCCAATAGGTCCGCCAGCTTACTCCTTTCTTCGCCGGGTATCTCGAGCACAAGTGCTCCGGTGGCCCCTACTCTGGTTTTTATCTTCTCGATACCCATCCCGGTTAGATCTATCTTCCTCTTTGCTTCAGCTAGCAGGTCCTTGTATTGTCCTTTTTCGGCGGTGATTGTTACTGCCGCTGTGTTGGGGACTCTTCTCTTGTTCTTTTTTCCTTCTTTCTTTTCGGAGATTACCACCTTTTTTATTATTTCTTTCCTCTTTTGCTCTTCTTTCTCCCTCCTCTTTTCTCTTCTGCCCACCACTTTCGCCCACAATTCTTGTGGTGTAGGTGCCTCCTCCTTGCCATGTTGTGCTTGTTGTTCCTTTCTTTGTAATCTCGTGGGCGGAAGTTGGGGGTACTCTTTGATGTAATTGTTTCCCCCGTATTGTGCCCTTCCTTGATCCCCTATTTCTTTTACCTCTCCTTTTCCTTTGTTTCCTTTGTTTCTCCCGGTCCCTTGTTTGGGAGTTTCCTGTGATTTCCATTCGTTCAGGGCCTGGAACACCATCCTGGACACTTCCTCTCCCAGTCCCTTCTTTCCTCCTTTTACTGGATCCTCCCTCCTTTCCATCCTAACTTTAGTATTCAGGAGGACATTTTCCCTAATCTTGGGACCTGCTTCTCCTGTTTTTGCGACCCTGCCTTCCCTCACCGGGCGTCTCTTATCCTTTGGAATCAGTCCCTTTTGGATCTCTATTACTCCAATCGGGACTTCCTCCTCCTCCACCATGTCCACCATAGGTGGGGTGATCGCCCTTTCTTTCTCCTTTATGTGGATCAGGGGCGAGGGAGCACCCGCCATATGTTGCAGCGCCTCCTCCACACCCTGACCCACGTTTCCCAGGTGCTTCGGGGGCGGGGAGAATACCGCTGCTGCTTGCAGCGGTGTCTCCCTTATACCCCGAAGCATTTCCTTCACTTCCTCCAGTTCCTTTCTTACTTCCCTCAGCGATGTTTTCAGATTCATATTCTCTGTTCTTAACTCCTCTATCAAGTCCAAGTTGTTTCCGCATCTGTCCTGTGCCATTTGCATGGCCATGACATTTGTTCCTGCTGTTATCGCCGCCGCAGCGTCCCTGAGTACCTTCACGTGCGTACCTTTGAGGCTCTTAGATTTTTGTGAGAATCCCAGAACCTTGCTAGATGCTTCCAAAATAGACGCCGTTATGTCTCGGAAGGGGGCCTACTCTAGATGTTCCGTTATTCTTTTAATCTCTGCTTTGTATTTTCTATTGAGGTGCAATCCTGAAACTCCTCCATTGGATTTTCCATGCCTTTAAGCAGAAATTCTTCTTTTTTTTGTTCTACAATGGCCTGCTTTCTTGCCATGAACTCTTTCTTGAGGCGATATCCCCCTGTCGTCTCTGGCCTGCCCCTGCCTCTGGTGGCCTTCTCAACGAGACGCTCCTCGTCCGTATTTCCGTCTTCGTCCCTGGGGATATCCCATTTCCCTTCTTTTTTCTTGATGATTTTTTTGCCATCATCAGAGTCCTCTTCCCTGGAGGTGGCAAACGGCGTCGACTCATCAGCTCTGATAGGCGATCTAGATCTAGATCTGTCGCTGTCGCAGATCTCTTCCGCCTTCTTAGCCTTTTGGGCCTTACCACTCCTAAGCCCCTCCCTTCTTACCGTAGACTGGCTTTTGCCAGCTCGGCTTCTCGTGTCCTTTGTACTAGCCTGGGTCGTCATATTCAGTTCCGAATCCGATGAGTCAATATTTGAGGAGGTTAAAAATTCAGTCATTGTGGTCTCAAACCCACCACCCTGCACGGCTCCGGTGCCCGGGCATGCCCGCATCCCCTCGGAAAGGGAGAGCCTCCGAGTTCCCCCGGAGGAGCACCATATGGCACTGGCCGACGGAATATTACATCGCCGGCACTGGCCTCCCACCCCCCTACACGCGCCCTGACCACCATTTCTGGTGGCCAGACCGCTTTCGGGGGTCCCACACCTCCGACAATGTGGGCACCGTGCAGAGCGCCGCCACGCGGGGGGCTCCATGGATGGAGATAGTTCACCGGTGTCGCACCCCACCGGGAACGTCTCCCCCATGGCAGCCAGCGTGCTCGCGCCGCCCGAGGGTCCGCTTTAGGGTGATGCGATCGCATTCCCTTGGGCACAGCACACAGGGGCTCCGGCCCCGCCTCGGAATACGTCCGAGCGGCCCGGAGCACCCCTCCACCCCCCGGGTACCGTGAGGGGTTCCAAACCCTCACGGTGTGCAGACCCGGGTGTGGGTACCTCTCTCCGCCTGGCCGTGGCCAGGACGGATGAGGGAGAGGATCGTTCCCTTTGGCTGCCGGAGCACCGGCGTGCAATGCCTCCGGGAATGAGTCCTCTGGTTGGCGCATGAGGGTGTCTCGACCCTGACCTCGGAATACGTCCGAGCGGCCCGAGACACCCCTCCACCCCCCGGGTACCATGGGGCAAGCCCCATGGTGTGCAGACCCGGGTGTGGGTTCCTCTGTCCGTTCGACCGGGGCCGAACGGGTGAGGGAAGTCGGAGAGTCCACCTTCGAGACGAAGGTGGGGTCCTCTCCCCTCGTCACCCTAGGGTGCCCCGACCCCGACCTCGGAATAAGTCCGAGCGGCCCGGGACATACCCTCCACCCCCCAGGTACCGTGGGAATTGTCCCACGGTGTGCAGACCCGGGTGTGGGATCCTTCATTCGCCCAGCCGTGGCTGGGACGAGCGAGGGAGAGAGGTCCTCCCCTCTTCGGCTGCCGGAGCACCGGCGTGCAATGCCTCGGAGGGTGCGACCTCTCAGGACGCGGTAGGGTACCCCGACCCCGACCTCGGAAACGTCCGAGCGGCCCGGAGTACCCCTCCGCATCTCAGGCACCACGGGGGAGGAGGATCCCCATGGGGTGGAGCCCTGGATGCGGGTACGTCCCTCCGCCCTTGTCTAACCGTAACGGTCCAACCGAGGCGGGAGGAAAGGGTTCTCTCTCTTCGGCTGCCGGAACACCGGCGTGCAATGCCTCGGAGAGAGAGGTCCCCTTCCTGGAGCGAGTGTGGAGGAGGTCATCCCTGTCGGCTGCCGGAGCACCGGCGTGCAATGCCTTCAGGGATGATCTCCTCCCACCCGCTCTGTGACCATGCTGGTCATGGGCCAAGCTGGTCACTCAGCCCGGTCGGGTGCTCTTGGTCCAATCCCTCCGTACAGACCACTCCGGCATGGTAGAATCTGCCAGGGGCCGAAACCCCCGCCGGTACAGCTCTGTACATCATCGGGACCTTCAAGCCTCCCCACCACGTCAAGGTGGCACCCACGGGGAGGATCACAAAGGATCAGACACAAGGAAGAATGTCAATAACGACTGACCACAGCATAGTGCTTTATAGTGCTTTATTTTTAAAATTAATTTTAATTATTTTCTTTATTATTTTTATTATTTTTGTGAGAGATTGTGTGAGAGAAAGAGTATGTTAGTGAGAGATTGTAAAAGAGTGAATAATATGAGGGGGAGGAGAGTGAGGGAGAGTGTGAAAAAGTGAGAATGTAAGATAGAGTGAGTGTGAGAGAGAGGGAGAAAGAGAGAGAGAGGAAGACAGAAAGAGAGAGGGAGAGAGAATGTGAGAGAGAGAGAGAGAGAGAGAGAGTGTGTGTGTGAGTGAGGGATAGTATAAGTGAGAAGAGTGTGTGGGAGAGAGAGAAGTGTGAGGGAGAGAGTGTGATAGGGTGAAAGTGTGAGAGAAAGAGTGTGAAAGAGAGAGGCGGTGATATATATATAGGGTGTTTAAAACAACCTTCCATTATTAAAAGTATAAAATCCTGATAAAATTCTAAAACAACTTTTTCTCTTGCAAAATTTTGGCAAAAGTTTAGATTTTAAATTATTAACAAAAACAGTAGACCTATTGCGGGTCGAGTACGGGAGGTAGATAGGTGCGGCGCAACTCACCGTCAGACGTGGGCGTTAACGCGGAGTACCCGCAGCAATCAGCTGATCACACTACACATGTTATACACTAGCTACGTTCCAATATTTATTGCCAGCATAAAAATCTGTATTTCCTGTGACGTTAGGTGATTGTGATAACTGGCAAAAATTTTGGAAAACAGCCAGGATTGTACGCGCACACACATGCAAGCACGTGCTTAGTTTGTCCCAGTCTTTCTGTCTCTTTCTCACTCATTTACTCGTATTCATTGCACGACCAATGCGAAGCGGCGGTCGTGCGTGGTGGGGATGGACCAATGGACATCCCGCGACGATCGTATAAATGCGTTGAAACAATCGATGCGTTAATCAATAATCCTGCGGTTATTGGAAGCGTTAACGTCAAGACGATATGGCAGCATACACGAACGAATAATATTATGACATGCTATTGACACTCGGAGCCTGTCACGGCCAGGTCGCCGCTGCTGCTCGAAGGTACGCCGAGCTGTACCCCAACCGAGCAAGACATCCGTCGCACCACGTTACAGATACAAAATACAGATTTTTATGTTGGCAATGAATATTGGAACGTAGCTAGTGTGTAACATGTGTAGTGTGATCAGCTGATTGCTGCGGGTACTTCGCGTTAGCTCACACGTCTGACGGTGAATTGCGCCGCACTTGTCTATCTCCCGTACCCGACCCGCAATAGGTCTACAATTTTTGTTAATAATTTAAAATCTAAGCTTTTGCAAAAATTTTGCAACAGGAAAAGTTGTTTTAGAATTTTATCAGGATTTTATACTTTTAATAATGGAAGATTGTTTTGAATCACCCTGTATATATATACAGGATGTCCGGAATGTGATCATTAATATTTTGTGTACTGTTAGAACTCGTTAAAACAATAAAAAAAGTCCTGTGCTATTTTACAATTTTTTCAATATTTATTCCGTAATTAATTAAAATGTATAAACGAATGAGCGCACGAGAAAGCGAAAAGACGGGCTCTGTGTATAAGAAGATGGCTTACCTCGCGCGGCAAAAAACAACCATAAGCGACAAGAGGCATGCGCGCGCGACGAGGAGCGAGCGAGCGCGAACGACGAGCGAGCGAGCGCAAGCAACAAGAGGCGGCCACCCAGCACTCTCTACGCGCTCATTGGCTCACATGTTTCAATTAATAACTCGATAACTATTGCTAATTTGACATTACGGTACATGACTTTTCTTCTCGGCTACACCCAATCTACCAGTACACAAAATATTAATGATCACATTCCGGACACCCTGTAGAGAGAGAGAAAGAGAGAGAGAGGGAGAAAGAGAGAGCGAGAAAGCTTAAGATGGTCTAGAATAGAAATGTTAAACGTCGAAATTTTCATTGGTTAGACGGTTACGCATTACTATGCAGAAAATATGTGTAATGGAATTTTAAACTGTAAATAGAAATGTTAAACGTCGAAATTTTCATTGGTTAGACGGTTACGCGTTACTATACAGAAAACATGTGTAATGGAATTTCAAACTAACTTAGTTATTTAATGTGTTGCTTACAGGTGTCAGTTGATAATAGATAAGTGTATGTCTATACCGTGCTTTAAGAAGATGTAAGCTCTAAGCTGTAAGTGTTAAGTGACTGTATGTAAGTGTTAAGTCATTTCTGTCTCTAAGACACTCTCGCGCAGTATTTAAGCTTTAGCCGTTAGATCTAAGCGAATTGCGCAAAACTCAATTCCTACGGCCTAAAGCGTAGAGCTTAAAGTCGACATATAATTTTCAGCCAATCAGCGAAGAGGACGTTTTGTCGTGTCAAAAAGAATACACCGTCGATCGTGGATATAACCTCGCTCGCCGATATAATCTTCGATTTTGTACTCCATATATTTGTAAAAGATGCACATTCCACGAACACAACACTGTTGTTAGCAGGAGAGCTTGATGTAAATCCATCTTGGTTATGTAGAAAGTGAAGAAACTGCGTGTTTACAAACGCATTATCACCAACCATCAAGTCTGAATAACCCTTCTCTCATTGGCTGATATACGTCACGTTTTACGCCTTACGTTTTATATTGTGGATTACAGTCTTTAAGATTTATTTAACAGTTTTCAGCTTACAGCTTGGAGCTTACGGCTTAGAGATAAAATATTTTCTTAAAGCGAGGTTGTAGACATACACAAAGGGTAGTCTACAATAAGACTCCATAATATTATGGAGTCGTCTGCTATATGGGACGTTGTCATCGCGCGAGGTTCGTTTTGCGTTAGACGGTTACCCAGGTTACGAGTGTAATATTTTTCGCGTTTGACAGTTATTCATCCAGAATATGATTATAGTGTTGAAGTGAATTTATATGTGAGAAAGTATAATTTTGTAAGAAAGAAAAATTGAAGAAGAAAAAGAAAAGAAGAGATAGGAAGGAAGAAAAAAGAAAAGGAGGAAGAGGAGAAGGAGAAGGGAAAGAAGAAGGAGCAGAAATAAAGGTATGTATAATTTAATATCTTACCCTGACAGTATTAATGTCTAAAACCGAGACATATAGCTGGATACAGATTTGAGCATGAACGCGCATGAGGCAAGCTGAGGCTACACCGAAATGCCTTGGATTGAAAATTGAAGTCTCCGTATGAGAACGCATAAGGCAGGTTGAGGCAACTGTTCGACGTTGCTCCGGTCGTTCGGAGTCAGCAGTTTTGTCCTTCATTTTTCGTGTCGTGTGCGTATCTTCCTTACGCGTGCTCGAGTGCGTCCAAACTGAGCACGAATTATCTTTGATGGACCGACAGCGCTCAGTTCGGTCCGAGCCCGTGCGGCGAATCATCCGAGGCAATCTGTTGCGCCTCAGACCAACGTCCACACTTGCATGCTTATGCGGCCTCGGCTAGGCTCATGCGCGTTCGTGCTC